CTAAAGAAAGGTTTAGATCAAAATCTAGGCAAAGCTCTTGGCTGGATGCTATTTATTTTTAATGACTCCACTCATTTTTAATATTGTTTTGAAACAAAAATTACTATGAGAAAACGTGTGCAGTAATTCCCATGACTAAGCTTCCCAGGGGTTAAAGTTTCCAGTCTTGAGCAAAACATTTAAATGTTCAGCATTGCTGTCAACACAATACATCAATTAAAGGTCCAAGCAGTGTCAGTTCACTTGTTTATTTCATATATTATATTTATCTTTTCCTGGATTTCAAGTGCCTTCTGATCAGCTTTCTTATCCTATGAAAACATCTGTACAGAATTGTTTCAAATGAACAGAAACTTATGGCAATATCTGTTCAGCTGTCAGACAATCAAGGTCATACAAGGTGCAAAAATGCTTATCTCGATGAGAACAGGCTGAAATCACCCCTTCTGTAACCCCAGTGACTCCAATTACAACTTTGTTTTCAGTGGGGAAAAAGACTTGGAACTTACAGTGGATTTTTCAAAGTCATCTTTTCCAAGACCCTTGGCCATTGTACAGACAGGAATGCATGATTTAGAGGAGGCCACAGAAGAGCTGTGGTTCCTTAGCTTGGTGCTTTATGCATTTTACACAAGGTTTGTTACTTCACCATGGCAGTCAAAAGACTGGGTCCAGTTTTATCTATCAACTCTACTATATAACATATAATCAGTTCTGGGATCAGAGCCAGAGACTCAGTCTTCACTCCCTCTCCTTCCAGAGGCTTACAAACTAAATTCTGGTTAGATTTGAATTCTGCTCTGATCTACAGAATATACCATATCATGTACAGAATAAACATTACAATATTTGATGGCTTCTAGCTTCTTCACAACAGTTAGCATTAGCTGCCTAAATCACTGTCGGGTGGGTTTTAGCATCTAAATTGATTGGGTGCATTCTGAAATTGTACTTGAAACAAATGCTCCTGTTTTCTCTCCAGTTCATGATTATAAACAGAATTATAAACCAATATGGATCAACATACATGCTATTAGACACGAGGTAAATCCATACTGTGGGACACATGCATCCCGAAGTACCCTTGCAGTTCTGATTCCTCAGCTCTCCACCACAGGAGTATCCTACATCTCCCTTAAGAGTATGCTGAGGATTTTCTTCAGGAGCAATATGGATGCGCAGGACAGCGTGTACCCAATTTAATATGTACCAAGAACCTGGGCAGAGCATGAACCAGAAGCCTGTCATATGGTGTTTACCATATGACATAGGAGCCTTAAAACCCTCAGTTTAGATTCAGTTGGCTTAGTAAAAGAAACAGAAATTTCCTTTATAACTAGTGGCAGCAAATCAGAAATTAAGAGTGTTCAGAATCAAGAACCAAGATCAGAAACGGAAAAGGCATGCAAAACTATGGAGATTAGATTGCATTAGATTAGCTGATATTTTCACTTCAAACACCTCCAAAACATACAAATTTGAATGTATGCGTCAATGCTAGCTAATATGGGCATTTGAAGTTTGCTTGTCATACATGTGGGACATATTCCAGTAATAAAAATGAAGTTTTATCACAAAACTGTTTTGAATTAATCTAATTACAGTATGCGTTTGCATCTATAGCCATTTCAGCATGCAAAGGAGCATAAGGAAACGTTGCACAGAGAAGCCTACTCAAAACAGAGGTATACTTGGAAAATGAAGAAAGCTTCTCACATAATGTGATAGAACTTAAATTGAGAATTTTTAAGTCATGTAAATGATGAGTCCAAATATTTTTTTTTTTCACTTACGTTTTTACTGGCAACCTATTTCTATCTTAAATAATCTTGATTACCCCATCTATAAAACCGGAATATCAGAGTTCAGACACAATTAGAGAGTAATGGAATTGTGCCAGAAAAGTACTTTAAAATATCCCAAACCAAAACAATGACAAAATGAACCCAAGATACAAATATACACAAATAATAGCGTGAAATCTTAACTCTGTTTAGATACTCCAACTGAATTGCACGGCCTCAAGCCACTAGAAAAATAAAAAGCATCTTACATACCAAAAAGATAATCTGACTTTATTTCAGGTTTCCTGAAGTGGGAGAGTTTAGAAAATCATACAGGGATTAAAAGAGGTTGTTCTGGAACAATTTAGAAGAGGCCCTTTCTGTCCTGGGAGTCTTTCCAATTCTCTTCACCCTTGTAAATTCAGACTCCTATTACCCAATTTTTCACACCAAATGCTTGTTCTCAGATATGCAATCCATCTTTTTATATGACTTCCTGGTCATTTAAACAGTTTTTCAATTGCAAACCTAATCCAGAGTCCCCCAAACTATTCCCATTGAATTTATATCATAACTGCTCAGTTATTTGCCAACTTCCATAATTTAGTACTTTATTTAGACATCACTGCTTGTGCAGTTTTTCAATCTCACTCAACGCTATTGACTTGAGAACTTAATTCTCTGCAAGCTGCATGTGTCAGTCTGGATTTTGTTTACTCTCCCCTTTTTAAAGAAGACATGAAAACCAGCAGCCAAATTGAAATGAGATTCAGTCACAGATAAAAGAAATTATCTAAAATCTCTCTTACTTCCTTTTTCCATTATGCAAAGCCTGACATTCATCTCACTCATTTTCAAGCCATTCATTCTTTCCATGTTTTTCTTTTCCAGATTAAAGATCTCTTTAGTATCTGGTATTTTAATAAATAAATACTACTAAGGTATTTATAGACCACAATATAACCACATCTTTGTCTTCTTTTAGGTAAGATCAAGTGCTTCAAGTCTCTCACTTCCAGGCTGTGTTTACAGCTCTCAGAGAAGGTTGTGGTTTCTTTATACACTTTGGACAATGTTTAAGTTCAGTCCCAAGTGTGACAAAATGCCTGTGAGTAACTCATGACATTCAGAATTTTGATGAAACTCCTAATTTGGCCTATTTTAAACCTATTTGGTCTGCCCTTACTGCATAGAGAGCTGAGAGTATATAATTATGGGTAAAAATCCTGGATAGAAATTGGAATCTTTCTTTTCTTTTAAGTCTGAGAAGGCGTGCTAAGAAAGTTATTTTGCTGGAGAGAGAAGAACTATGCAGGAGTGTCTGCACTTTGAAAAAGAAAAAAAAATGATATGACAAAAATCATGGGGATTTATGTGAAAGCATCTGTGGGGAAAAAATTACTACATGTCTAAAATGAAGCTGAGAAGTAATTAAATTTTTTAGATAATTAAATCTTATATTTAAACTTGCCAAAGATAAAAAAAAGAACTTATTTTTTAACTTTAAAAGTTGTACGGTTATACTGACAGAGCAAAACAAGGCACCAGATAACTGAATGCAAGAGAAATAACTCACAGCATCACATGCTTTCCATTGTATCACAGTTTTCAGCTTTATACTCTATTTGCATGTAAGCAGAGTTTCTCCTCAGCATGATTGTCTGCTTATTCACACTGAAAATATTAAAAACAAGAACGGGAACAAACCATTTATAAACACTTCTGCTGTACATAGCCATTACACTCTGTTTTCCCTGAAAGACTTTTTTTTTTTTGCAAGAGTAATCTAAGTCAACAACCATTCTGTTAAGCAGTATCTTAAATTAGTTAGGGAAACATATGGTGTGCCCTCCTATGGAGGTTATACTTTGGCTATTGCTTTCTGATCTGGTTCTGGCATGAAATATCTGCCCAAGGACATACAAGGTTTTTAAATGAAATATAACTTAAATGTTATCAATAATGATTCACAGCTGTGGATGATTAGACAGCAGGTTTATCAAGCTTGGTTTTTCTTTTTATAATTTGGAGAAATGATTTTTTCTTATATAAAACTCAAAAGTATAACACCTGTGTTGGGGGAAGGATATATTTTTCTGAGGCGGTGTTGATGGGAGGTGAAGTACTTAGGTGAGGTAAGTGGGAGTGGAGGAAACCCAAGGCATTCTGAAAAAAATATTCACACTTCATATATCTTTGTGTGAGCATGTTTACTTGTATTTCCATACAGCTGTAAGGTGGTTACAGTGGCTTTCTCTAGCAAAAGTGATGCAATCAGAGCAGCATATGTGTAGGTACTTAAGCAGAGATGTTCATTCATGCTTGATTTCTTGCAGAAAAACCCCAATACTGTATTTCCAGTTTACCATATTATAGTGTCCAACCTTTTCTTACTTTAACAGAAATCTCAACACCTGTACATCTTCCCCTGCAGTGCTACAGCAATTAAATATCATGAGGGATTTATATGTAACTTGCACCACCCATTCTTTCTTAAGTGACATGCAGCAGCAGTAAGCATCATTTTCTGCTCAACTTCCAATTAGCCAGACTGAGAACACAACTCCTGCTGATTGCTATGGAAAGTACCTAGGAACTGGAACACGTGCCTCTGAGTCAGTACTCCTTGCTTCTACTGCTGACTTTGTCAGTGCGTCACTGTGCAGCTTGATTTAAAAAAAAATAAAAAATCTTCAGTACATCTATCAGAAAAGGATCTGGCAGAATATGCACATTGCACAATGGGGGTGTGACGCTTAATATTAAGTGTATAAAATGCTCAAGATTTTTATAGTGGCAGTGATGCTGATGCTAAAATGTTTCCATAAAGTGTTTTTTGACCTACTGTGCAACAATTCGGAATCATGATTGTTAGGTCCCGGTCTGACTGGTCCACGAGGAGTTCACAATGATTCTGAGGGTGTGATTAAAACACAATGATAGAGGCTGCATCCACAGCTAGACCAATTTCTTCAACAGTGCTTAAAAAGCAGCCATGTCAAAAGCGTTTGAGAAATTGGAGAGAGAAAGAGCAAGCAAAACCTTTGCATTTCGCTTGGAATCACTCATGTGACATCTTCATGAGATTCCTGAAGGGAGAAGGGGCTTTACTTGCTTTTTGTAGAAAGACAGAAGCAAGTCCCAAGTGCCAGTAGCAGTCAAATGCTGAGCTAAGCAAACAGCTTTAACTATGAGAAGGTGATAACATCTGCTTACATGGATGCTTGGATGCTCTTGTTTCATGCTTCAGTACTGTCTCGGTTCATCACTGCTTGTATACCCTGCCCATTAACCCCTGTCAGAATAAGGAAAAATATTAACCATTAGTTAAATTTAAAGGAAGTTTATATTTTCTGCTGAAGTTGTATAGTTTATAAGCACATAATTATTCATACAGACAAACCTATGCATATATACTTATATTTTTGCTGTTTGCAGGGTTTTTTTGCCATTTTTAGTGCAGTTTAATTTGTGTGCAGTTTACTGTAGGACCTTGAGATAACTTAGTCTGGTGAGACACTTCATACACTGAAATTGCTATTTGGTTTATATACTTTGCAGTCCTGTAATGCAATAATGCATCCCTCAAATCTCTTCAGCATTCCACCTTGGGGTTTAATCCACTTGAATTGCATGCAGAGCACTAATTGACATTGTCTGGTTTCATGACCCAGTCAAATGTTTTACAATAATTACAGCGAACAACATGAACTTGCTGCATAAGCGTAATCTGTGTCAGTGTCACAAAGAGTGGCTGTTGCCTTTTAGAGTCTTCTAGGACAATAATGACAGATATTTTTGTTCAATAACTGATATTTTTCACTTGCAGCTGGACCATCCTGTGGTGGTGTTGAATCACTTTGCCCCTGCTTAATTTTATTTTCAATGTACTGTTACTAGTGACATTTCTACATTCCTTTAATGTATGCAAATGAAAATGAATGGCTGAAAGGGTTGTCTAGCTACTGCTGCTATGTGAATAATTTCTCAACATAATTGATATGTTTTAATGCACACCCATAGTATTTAGACCAGGATTACTTAGCGGTGGGCGCCGACCAAGATTTTCTTTCACATGGTAATCTTTTAAAAGTTAGCTTTAAATATTATGGTCTTAAATAGATTAAGTTTAAAGTTTGAAAAATACAGTTTGATAACTGAAGTCTTTTAATCATATTGCTGCAGAAAGACTAAAGACAACTCCTGCCACTCCCTCAAACTGCTTCTCAAGACATTTTCTTCAGGTATAAGAGCAGAAATCCAACCATACCTATTGGTTCCTGACCATCAGGAACCAACCAGGTCCAAAGGACACTGAAGTGCATTCATGTCTAGTTTGAAAATCTACCAAACTGTGTTTCATAACTGGCTTCTCCTGATGTGTTTCATTAGTATTTTGACTTTAGTTATAAAGTTAGCAGTGAAAATGTTTCAGAACTTCTCAAAAATGAGAATTTTGAAAGTCTTTTATCAATCCACTTCATTAGGTATATTTTACCAATAATTCAAAAATGTTTAAAACATTATTCAGCTAATTGTCCCAAGACAAAATGAAGTAAATATTAAAGAGCTTCAGCATTTCAATAAAAATTTTTGCTGTATGTCAGGGGTGAAGGCATTAGTCTTGCAAAAATATTCTGGCTTATAATTGTCTTTTCTGTCCATGCTCAAAAAAGTTAAGCATAACCACTATAATGGACTTAGAGAAGTCCTGCTGTCAGTCTTTGTGACTATACTTCTACTACCAGAATATACATTATATAGAAAAATTGACTTATTTTTATGCAAGTTCTGCATTGAACTAATGCAGTTCTGCAGTACTGTAGTGTCACAGTTCTTAGAAGATAGGTCTGACCTACCTTATAAAGTGCTTGGACAAAAGTTGTAGTAAATGCATGGTTTCTCAGCTTACCACTTCAAATTCCTGGTGAAAATAAGTGCTCCCTCTGGCCTTGGGCAGGTCTGGTGCTGGCAGCCTCTCTCTGTCCACTTGATGTTGCTATTGTGGAGCATGTGCAGCGGAAACAGCAGTTAGATCCCCAACCAGCTCTGAGGTAATCTGAAGGACACATTTCAGCAGCTGGTTTCCTGCTTTTTTTATGCGATGTTTAACTCTTCTTTGGCAGGAATTTAGTGAGGTCTGAGGGGACCAGGACATAACTAGCCATCAGATATTACTAGAAAAACTCATGCTCATGCAGCGGGCCAAGGCAAGGCCTTATGTCTCGTCAGGAATGTGTACAAGGAAAACTCTAGGAGAAAAAAAATGCATAATGGTTCCAGTAAAATTGCATAATGATCCAAGTATCCAGTGGAAAAAAAAAAAAAAAAAGTCTAGTGTAGTTGTTCATAAGCATTAAAAGTCCACAGACATGATGAGAGGAACTGATCTAGAAGCACCCAATCGGAATTCTTTAGGCACTAAGCTAAGTTGATATTGGTAGAAATAAAAGAGGCTCTTTAGGTGCATGAAATTTGTCATAGGAGAGAAGACAAATAAAGATTCAGACACTTCCTGCCGGTAGCACTATATGGCCTGCTCTCCCACCCTAATGCCTGCATATGGCTATACAAATAATTTTCTTGGAGTCATTGAGCTTCACAGCCTCTCCACTCTGATCACTCAGACCTCTTGCCTTTCAAATCAGGCCTGTATCAGTCCCTAACACTTCAGTTGTCCAGCTGTCCTGTATTAACTTTAATTTATATGATTGGCAGGTTCTTCTGTTTTTTCCTCACTGCCTGAGATTGCCCTTTCCTAAGGCAACTACTTACCACTTGAAGAGAAAAAAGTTACAGGATCTCTAATGTCTACCATAGAGGAACAAGCTTGAGCAAATTTATCTCCTTAATAGCATTAATGGGGCAAATTACTTGAGTGTACTGGATCACATCACTTAGTGAGACCCTACAAGTATAGGGCAGGGTGAGGTTGTTGATTGTGTTACTGCTTTTTTTCCTTCTGTTCAGATCTGCACAAGAGCTAGCCTTATTAAGAGTTGGGGGGTTTTTAGAACAGAAATAAATCTTGGCAAGCCGTGCAACTTGAGATCTAAGCTTTGTTGAACTGCACAAGTGAAGTCAAACAGGTAGCATCCACGTAGAAAACTAGCTAAGAACCGGGATTTGAAAGATATAACTACTTTCCATATCTTGTATTTAGAGTGTGATGGACACTGAACAAACTTGCAAGGTGATATGTGGCTAGATTACACTTATTTGCCCTAGATGATTTACAAACTAACAACAGGCAGACACAGTCACCAGACAAAGTTTAACAAAAGGAAGAAAAAAAGTACAAACAAGATTTAGCCATATCTTTCTAGTTCCCATAGATGACAGGCTGACCCTTATGACTCTGAAGTGTTAAGTTAGCTAAGAAACTGTTATCTCTACCTTGTTCTTAAACTCCAGTATTTTTATTTTAAATCCAGCTTCACACCTCATCTTTCTGCCACTGGCCCATTAGCAAGATAACTTTGGTCTGGGGTACTGCACTACTGTCAGTGCACCTCCATTCATCATTCCAGAAGAAACCAAGAACAACAGGCACACCCAGTGCATTGACAGATTTGGTACTGCTTTTGCTTTCCCAAAAAAGCTTGGCCTGTTTCTCATCTGAGGCACTCAACTGCTGATCAGCTTCACGGTTCATGTTTCAGTCGGTAAATACGCCTCAGAGCAAGTTAGTTGCACTTTGATATTCATTTAGAAATATAGTTTAATAATAATGAAATTAAGGGACACAGGAACTTTTTTTTCCCTACTGTTCAATATTACAATATATTCCCTATTCTCTCAATAATGCAATTTGTTCATTAGGATTAGTTATAGGTTTCCTTAATGTCTTCCATTTTCCTTTAAAAGGAAAGTAGCCATCCTAAACCAGAGAAAATATTGTTATTTTTTTAGGTGTAATTGAAACCATAAAAACTCCTATCTAATAATATAGAAGAATTATATCAAACAGCACCTGTGGGTTACTTTAGTTTAATACTTATGGTACAACAAGGACCCATTCTGAAGTGGAGTTAAAAGCTACATGGAGGAGAAATCATTTATCTGTTTTACAAAGTTTTGAGACTTGAAGAGTCAGAACAAACTTGTGCTCACACATGCAAGGAGTTTGTGGGCGTACCTTGTTCTTTTTACAACATTGCTACCCTAGAAAAATCCTGGTTTAATCGTGGCATGGAAAAGTATCAAAAGTGGCAAGAGTGGACAGCTCTTCAAAAGAAGGCAGCAGAAAAATGAATGCAGGGGTGCAGTCCCACCATATGTAAGAAAGGTGGGCAGAGCAGGTCCTGTGACAGCAGCCAGGTTCAGTTGACTCCCCAGCAAGCACTGGGCACATCCATGCTCACCAGAGAGGAGGGTAAGGGCAGAAAGACAAAACAGAACATAACTTCCACACAGGTCTGGCAAAGGAAAAAGCCTGAACTTAAATGCAGCTCTTGGGCCAGTGGACAAATTGTGCATGGGTGGAGCCACCAGGTGTGGCGAGTCAGGACAATCAGGGCCTGCTGGTGTACTCGAGGTCTTGATAAATGTGTCAATTGAATAATAGATGTTGTAAGCAGTTAGGATGTAAAGAAACCCAGGGCTTCTCTAGATGCAATCTGTCAGATAAACAGTCAACCCACCTACATAGTTACTATGTAGTTATTTTTATGGTTTCCAGTAAACAAAATTCACAATGCCATATGCATTAAAGAATGTTACAGATCAGCAGCAGCACAAGTTTAGTAAGTTGCACCTGTGTTTAGAAATACAGTTTACAAATTAAATCGTTGCCCAAATACGTATATGCTTTAATGCAATTTATTAAATGTCAAAATAGTATGGCTCATATGTCCACAGAGAATATATTTCTCCAAGTATCGACCTATACTCCAACCAATATTCCTTGCATACATCAGGTCAATTCATAAAACACCAGTTTATTACAGAAGAAAATATACAAAGCACAAACAAATCAATAAACTTTATGCAATAACCAATAAAATGTGTGTATACATACACACAACTCAGGAAAGTTATTGCACAAGACTCCTTTTTTTTTTTTCTTCTTCTTTCTTTTTTTATAACATGCAGCAATCCAATATTGGCAGAATTTATCCTAATTATTTGGAGGGGTTATTGATGCAGTTTCCCAAACATTGATAATGTAGAGCACCCTTCATGCTTAGCAACTGCTGGCTCAGATCTAGTAGTGGTCAAAATCCCCCTGGATTTTCATGGCAGTTTGGTTGTGGACCTACACTTGGATTCACTGTGTTGCTCTAGCTCATTAAGAAGTGGTTACTTCAATCATCCGTTCTTATTTTATTGTTGGTGACTCTTTCATCGCCTGATCACTACTTGTGGGATATTGTAGGCTGTTTAGGCTAGAAAGCACTTGGGACATACAGAAATGGTGCCCTGACATGAGAATGAAGTTACTAGCTCGGCTCACTAGTCAGTTTAGTTATCTAATAAAATTAGTGTGTAGCCTCCCAGTCTAAAAAAACAAAACGCGAAAAATGCAGTCACTGTAACATGTGATGTAATTGTCACTTTATTTGACTTGTTTTGGAAAAGCCAAGGATCAAAATGAATTCATGACCAGCAAACAAAATAATCCTTCCACATGAAGAATGGTAATTACTGGCCAATACTGTATAAATTTTATTTTCCTGCTCTACCAGTGTGGTATTGCTGAATTTGTATAGCTATCAATCCAAAATTTTTAGTGAGGTAAAGTCATTTATCATAATCTATAAAGAACCTCTGTGTTCTATAAAGAACACAAAACATAGATATTTCTCCCCTGTACTAGCACACGTGCATGTGCGTACACACACACGTGCACAGAGTGCACGTGTGCTTTCCTTCTTCTGAAATGCATTTTTAGAGAAAAAAACACAGCCTGTAAAAGTTAGTCCTGAGCTTGGAAATTATACTACAGTTCAATTTTATGTTTTATTCACTCTTGTGTGTAGTTTGCTGCGACCATCTTTGTTTCATCAATGCTAACTCGAGAGCAGTATTGCTGATTTTGCTGCTCCCGTAACAAGCACTTGTAATTCCTCCTCAGGAGATGATCAGCTCAGCTTTGACAGGTGTATTTGGTACTCCCTGACGGTCCTCAGGCTAATAAATACTTCAGGCTTCAGAGGCTGCTTTCCCTTTGGTCTTTTTAAGGAACTAGTCAACCGTAAAAAATGACATTAACCTTTATTTTAATTTCCCCCTGATGGTAGTGCACGAGGCTTTCAGGAGTTTACTGGCAGGAGCTGGAGTCAGCGTAGCGCGGCTGTGAGCTGGTGTGGGAGCAGCAACAGCGTGACAGATGTGGTCGGTCTCTGCTGAGAGAACCGAAGGTGAAGGGAATTACTTCTAGTGAAAATTTCACAATACACACCTGCTTAAGTGAAATATGATGACATATTATAGCATATTTAGCTGTTAATAATTTAAAGGTGGTTAGGGTGACTGTGTCACTGGACAGATAGCCTTAAGGTAGCTCTGAAGAGGCAGGCATAGCACCAGTAGTGCTATCCAGAAATATTACTACACTGCTTGACCGTTATGTCTATTTTAGTGTAATACTATGCCTATACCATCTTGCATGGCATAAATGAGCTGAAAGGCCTGTAATCCTGTACTTCAGTAAGATCAGGCCTCACCGTACCCTGGCAGATGATAAATACCGTATTTCAGACCTTTACTATTCTTCACTGTGCAGATGTGAAACAACAAAGGAAATAACTGAATTAAAAAAAAAATAATATGATAGAAGCTGAGACTGTAGTGATGTGAGAATCTTACAAGACACGGGTCTGTCATCTGAATCACAGAATCACAGAATCTTCTAGGTTGGAAGGGACCTTAAAGATGATGTTGTTCAACCGTCAACATAATTAACAAAAATAGACACCCACACAACAAACAAGAAGCATCACCATCACTAAACCGTACCTCCCAGCACTACATCAACCTGTCTTTTGAACACCTCCAGGGTGTTCAAACAACTCTGCAGTTCAGACTTCTACTC